GCGCGGAAGGAAGTGCGGTCCGGTCTTCATTTTGTTTATGTTTCTTTTGCCATCCTTAGTGGTTAATCTGATTTTCGTATAACAATCGTCGGAAATGAAATATACAAGCAAACAAAGAAACAGCGTTTGATGAAGAGACTAGCAGTTGCTACGATACAACAGGCCTCGGCATTTCACCGCTTGAGAAACATCGACGAAACAGGTGAGTGATTATTGGTCAGTCATTATCATAATCTTTTACTACTTACAAATAGAGTATTACACTCAACGCAGCTTGTTACTGTTAAATGACATTAACTTTTGTTACAATGGTTCTGGGGAAACCACTATCTTCAGGCCACATACCGAAAATTAAAATTTGTTTCAGTTCGCGATGTGAGGTTATATTGGACCGTTATGTTGCGGATTTAACTATTATTACAAATGACCGTCTTCACACAACCATGATAGTGAATTCATGGAGTATGCTTTCATTTAACGCATGTCATGACGTTGATTTCACTAGGCAACATGTTTCGGGCATGAGGCCTTCAGGTCTGAAGATGGACTGCTTATGCCCGAAACATGTCTCCTGGTGAAATCAACGTCGTGACATGCATTAAATGAGAGGATACTCTATGAATTTACTAACATAGTTGTGTGGAGGTTACCTGAATTCTGTTCGCTGAATTTGTTACCCCTTACAACTGTTTGAATTATCAGTGATTACTTACACAATCGATCCAATATAACGCGACAAAATCTATAATATATGTTCTTTATTGTCACCTATATTATCTGCTATAGCATTAATACTAAATAATACTTCAAACGTGAGATTCAGTTTACGTTTTGCTTTACAATATGGCCTATGTTTGCATTGTTAATAACTTCCCCCATTTCGTTCTGATGCCTATTGCATCGATTGCGGATGTGCTAAAGGTACAATTGTCCGTCTGTAGTTAGCTGTCTTGAATTTGTATCGGCGTAATCAGATCCTTGTATTGGTTTCATGTTCTGTTTTCGCTGCGTATCGTTTGCTTGTGTAGTGTGTGTGTGCTGTGCACGCACTGCATTGTATAGCCAGCCGCGTCCCTTTCGCCAGGTACCAGTAGTTGACTGGTCCCGTTTTACATCGGCAGGAATATTTTATTGTGTGTGTGTGTGTGTGTTCTCGTCTCATATCTAAAGCGTAAAAATTATTAAAATATAATAAACTATAATTTCATGCTTCATCATCCTCAACTGATTAGACCTTGTTGCCCGTTCCAGTTCAGAATTACTTCTGAAAGTTATGAATCATTGTAGACGTTTGGCAGGACTCGTTCGAAGGTTGCCATTCGATTTATATTGGTATAAAACTTGGTCTTGAGTCCTAAGGGGAGAACGTTGACTGAGGGTGTCGGGCTGTTTTGAATACGGTAATGGAACTTTGCATTGTATAAAAGACAGGGACTTGACTAGCTGTTCCATGGTGTTAACATTAAGAAGTTTAGAATTGAAAGGTCAACGTGGAACATTATACTTATAAGTATACTTTCTAATGTTTCATTTGACTCCATTAAATGAACAGTGTAAAACATAGTCTATGACATTGTAATGAAGTCAAAGTAAAATAATTTTCTGGGCCCTTTCGTCTGTGTGAAACTACGTTTCATACAGAAAACTGAAAGTGTTGCACTGCCAAGAATTTGCAATAGGAGCTTGTACACACATTAGCTTCGCGTAGAAACTTCCAACCGGACTGACGCCCATGTGAGATTCGAGGTTCTCACGACTGCGAGTATGAAGATGATTGCCTTCTGAGTTTTTGCGCCGTCTGGTCTGGTAGAAGTTTACTGGTGATGGTGGGGGCAGCAAGCACTTCTGAAACGTCGATAAACTTCTAACAGACTACACGGTGCAACAACCCAGAAGACGGTCATCTTTAACGGAGCTAAAAGTTTCTTCACACTTCTTTAAAAATGGGTAATGGTGACATTTTACAATTTTTGTGTACTTATATTACAGAATGTCCCAAAAATAAACTTTTGTGGCCGCTCACCGCTGTCAAATAGGCCACGATGCTAACGTTGGTCATTTTGAATACCTACACAAAACTCGCTAATACACTAAGTATCAATGTTGACGTATGTAATGGTTTAGTTTATTAAAATGAATTTATTTCATTCATTGAAAATGTGTATATATCTTTTGGGACGCTCTATTTTTTCCCTAAACGGCGTATACGTTCCGAAAATCTTAAAACAGTGTGGCACGTCGGAAGAGTGAGACAGAGTAAGAGCTTGCAATATATTTTTAAAAAAGGCTTCGGTAAAGCCCCTGGCTTTGGACCGAGGGTGTGGTGATAATGTGATGCTTTGTCAGGGCTGTCTCG